ATACTTCGAATAAAATATTTTTTATTATTTTCATGCAATAAACGTGTATTTTCTATATTAAAAAATTCCGGTTTCATATTTACATACCTGGTAAACGTACGTATAAACATATGTACGTACATATGAACGTACGTATGACCGTATGTACACTGTCAGAAATTTCTCAATGAATTTTAATTAATATGTAAAGGACGCATGTGGTTATGCACGAAATTAAATGTAATGAATGATGTAAATAAATACTAAATTACATTAGTCTTAAATATGATGAACGTGTGTATTGAAATTAATGAACACATTATTATAGAAATTAATTTACACGTTAATGAAAAGTACGAGATCTGTAACTGAAAAGTAATTTACGTTAATGACATGTAAGGAAACGTATTAAACGTTAAGCGTTAATAGTGTTAGGCTTAATTAAAATATTATTAATATTCGTAAATGTAAACGTACATTAAATTTCAACACGCTTAACTTTTAAGTTAAGCGTATTGAAATTTATTGTACTACAAACTTAAATTTCATTAATATGTACATTAATAGTTATTTCAATTACGATTAATTAAATGTCATTTATATTCGTAAATGAAAAGTATATTAAATTTCATTACACCTAATTTCTCAGTTACTGTAAACTTAAGTCTCATTAACATGTGCATTAATAGTCCTTTCAGTTACAGAGAAATTAAACTTTATTCAACAATGTACATTAAAAGTTAATGAAATTTAAGAACATTTCTAACAGTGTATGAACGTACATATGTATGTATAAACGTATATATGAACGTATATGTATGAACGTCTTTACAAACGTATGTATGTACGTATTATAACCGTACTCGCGAGCAACGGCACAACTTCGTCGCGTGTTCTTCGTTCTCCTCTTACACAAAAGTGTCACTTTCCTCTCGGTAACCAAATTTTACGACAGCTAAGCGGATGGTCGGCCAAGATCGTGATTTTTATTACGGAGTTGGGCGCCAGACACGAGAGAGCGTGCAACTCTTTCCGAAATCTCCTTATTTTTGCCCGTAACCAATTCGCGACGGCAGGGGTGGATCGCAAGAGGTGTGGGAAATTTGTCGGAGGGCGAGAGAGATAGGCTACAAGAATAACATACGGGAGGATGTAATAATAAAACAAGTATACATATATGGAAAAATATGGTAAAGTAAGACTAATGACATCGGCGACGTAATTACAAATGATCTCTGGAGTTTCGCTCCTTTGCGCTACCCTATATTCTCGGTACTCGTACAGAGTCGCCAACTTACCTCTAATGCCGAACGCCGATCATACGCTACAGCATGAGCCCCTCTGTTTCCCGCGGTAACTTTCGACGGTGTCAAACGTCCTTCTCAACCGGCAAGAACCCGTACCCACTGCACTATCAGCCTCCCGACACGCAACGCCAGCACGACGAAAATGCGGCGCGATTATAACAAGCGTCTCTATGCGGCGCGACTCTGCTCGACCACTCGAATCCCGGAAACTGACTCTATTCGAGACACAACAACCGAGAGTCAACTCTGCTCGACGACGCAGCAGTAAGCATTCCAACGCAACAGTACACGACTCGATAACACAATTACAGCGAGCGCTTCTACGCGACATAACATTGCACGACAACGCGACTACAATAGGCATTTTTACGCGATCCGACAATTCACGACAATACGCGACAAAACGAAAACTTACAACTAATAACTCATCTGTGGCCAGGGGGGTGACCGCGACTCGGCCCTCGATAATCTACACGACTCTAATTCTCCAAATGCGACAGCCAAAGATCTCCCCTCGACTCGACTCTCGAAACGCGACAACTAAACATTTCCACTGCTTGGGACGATGGCACGTGGCTCGCAATTCCGCGGCTCTACACGGCGGCCATTACGCCAGTCTATCTTCACGATACGAGCTTGCTTACGTGCGATCCACCCAGCGACGTACCCCGGTCAGCAGCTTTACACGCGCAACGCTCGTCTCACCATCAACGTCCTGGTCCTCGCGTGTCCTCACGACATTGTCTTTCCCGCAGCTCTCGGCAGTCCGGCTCTCAGGTTCGCGTTCTCTGTCGACAGCGGCCTCGTACTTCCCTTACATCTCCTAGGCTCGGTCACAGTAAGAGTGAGTCCCGCGAGCTCCCGGCGGATACTAGCAGGCTGCTTAGCCCCCCCCCCCCTCCTTCGAGGGAAGGTAGTCACTCTGATTGGCTTCCGCATGTCACGGTATCCGCACGTGCCGTACAGGCCCACGAGGCCTTGAGTCCTGCCTCGTAGGAGCGAGCAATAAACGTCCCTGTCAAGGGTGGCATCCCTGCTAACGGCCCCTGCAACTCTTGGCCTGGCGCCGGAGATCTGGATGGATTCCCTTCTCGCTCTCGTCGGAACCCTATGCTCCTGACGGACGTCCGTCCGGTTCCTCAAGGGTGGCCGGAAATTCTGGCCTCCTCTGGTGCTCTGCAAGGGGTGCATGGTGAAAGCATAGTTCCTGTCGTATGCGATAGCGGTTATGAGCAATGATATAAAATAATACAACCTGCTAATCCGGGCTCCCGGACGTGCGTTCTCCTCTCTCAGCTTCTTTGGTCTTCCTTTCAAGGGTGGCGGGTGTGACGACACGATGATACAATATTATTTTACAGCAGCTGCCGAGCGTGATCCGTGGCGCGTTCACGTTTTCTGATAAACTCTATTATTATGTAAAAGAAATGCTAACACAAAAAGAGGAAAATTTATAGAGTAAATTAAATGACGCGATTTTAATGCACGTTCGCAAGTGCGCTCGCACGCGCGCTCGCCTTCCGAGCCGATAGGAAGCACGAGTCTTCCGCCGACAAGTCTGCACAGTAACGGACAAAATGTCACGTCACAGTATAAACGTATGAACGTATGTATGAACGTACGTATAAACGTATGTATAAACGTACATTGTGACGTGACATTTTGTCCGTCACTGTACGGACTTGTCGACAGCGGACTCGCGCTTCCTACCGGCTCGAAGGGCGAGCGCGCAGGCGAGTGCGCACGCGAGCGCGCGTGCAAGCGCACCTGCGAACATGCATTAAAATTCGCGTCATTTATTTTACTCGGCAGATTTTCTTCTTTTGAATTAGCATTTCTTTTGCGTAATGATCAAGCGTATCAGAAAGTGTAGACGCGCCACGGATCGCGCTCGGCAGCTGCTGTGAAATTTCATTGTATCATCGTG